GAGGAGGAGGAGGAGGAGGAGGAGGAGGAGGAGGAGGAGGAGGAGGGGGAGGAGGAGGCGGAGGCGGAGGCGGAGGCGGAGGCGGAGGCGGAGGAGGAGGAGGAGGAGGAGAGGAGGAGGAGGAGGAGGAGGAGGAGGAGGAGTTCGAGGATCGAGGATCGAGGATCGAGGAGGAGGAGGAGGAGGAGGAGGACGAGGAGGACGAGGAGGAAGGCGACGAGGCAGACGGGGAGGACCTGGGAGGACCGGGGTGGAGCTTCTGTCGGCCCGGGGCATGGGCTCGAGGTCGCTTCGGGGAGGGTACCTCCATGTTCCTCGTGCTTGTTGGGATGTTCCTGCGCAGCGTGGGCATGGCACCCTCGAGTGTGCTTCCGCTTGGCTGGCGGAGGCTGCCCGTCCGGCCGTCAGGGCGCGGAGGGAAGGCCGCACCGTCCCAGCCCAGGCCTGCTCGGAGGGGTCGGCCGCGGTGGCAGACGCCATGCAGCAGCTCGTGCAGGCGCCGCGCCCCGCCTCCCCGCAGGGCGTCCTGCCGACGCCAGCGTCGCACCCTCGCCAGCCCTCGTCCTGCGGAAGGACGGCGTCCTCTCGTCCCCTCGTGCCTCGTCCTCCGTGAGCGGCGCCCATGCGCGGCCGTGGGTGGGTAGTGGGCGCCTGCGTCGGCTGCAGACCCGCGCTCCCGCGGAGCGCTATCCTCTCGTCACTGCCTCTCGTCCGGAGGAGCCGCGGCCGAAGGTGTTCCACTGCCTTCGGCCTGCGGAGGGCATTCTCCGAGGGCCCCGGGGTCCCCAACACGACGGATCGGAATGAGAAGCTCGTCCTTCAGAAGGGTCGAAGGGTTCAGGCCTCCTGGGGATCCCTGGCACGAGCACGGTGTCGGATGCTTGGGAACCCACGCCGCGCGCTCGCCGAGTCATACCAGCACGCGGATCCCCAAGCAGCGCTTTCGTGCACAAGCGCGTGGGATGCTGGGCGAGTGAAGCTTGGTGCGCGTTGAACTCCACGTGTGTGAAGCCTTGTGTGTGGGCGTGTGGGTGTGCCTGCGTGTATGGAATTGCTCCCTCGCTGGGTTGTGCCGACCGTCGTCCCCTTCGTCACCCCTCGCTATCTCTCTCTCTCTCTCTCACTCTCTCTCTCTGGCATCGCGTGGGTTTCTGCTCCAGGGGCTCCTTCTTACGCATGCCCTTTCGGCCGACGGCATCGCGGCTTCATAGGGAGGCCTTGGAGATCCGACGGCGTCCCCCCCTGTCTTCTCGTGCTGACTGGCGTCTTCAGTATGTCGGAGGGAAGTGTGAATGTGTGTGTGTGTGCGTGCGTGCGTGCGTGCGTGCGTGCGTGCGTGTGTGCGTGTGCGTGCGTGTCTGTGTGTGCGTGTGTGCGTGTGTGTCCCACGAATGCCGCATCGCCATAGCAGTCCCTCTGCCTAGCCGCTGACGGGCAAGTGTGTGTGTGTGTGTGTGTCTGTGTCTGTGTCTGTGTCTGTGTCTGTGTCTGCGTGGAACCACTCAGCCGTTGCATCTGGACCAGTCGATTGGTGCGTCACCGCGCCTGTAGTATACCAGATGTGGAGGTGCAGGCCCTTTCGCGTAAAACCACGCGTCTGTGGAACTCTGTGTGTGTGTGTGTGTTGAGGGCCCTGGGGGGTTCCAGAGGCAACGGCGTGTGGAGGGCCATGGGGAGAAAACGATTTCTTGGACCCCTCTGGGTTAGAAAGACCGCGGTGCGCGGAACTCCATGGAGCGACAATGGCGCGTGCCACTGGACGAGAATCCCAATGCCAGGGCGTGACCCTTTGAGTGCAAGCAGCGCATGGGGCATGCAGTCGACCCTGATGGTTGCCTCCTCGGTCATCTTCGGTCCATCGTCAACAACGTTCGAAGGCCAGCCCCGCTCGAAGAGCGAGCCTCTGCATGGGCGTCCGGGACATTTGCATCCTTACCGCGCATCCTTATTACATGGGTTGATTGTACAGCCTCTTTCTGAGAGTGCACGTCTTCTGTGACGTGCGCGCCAGCCGCGCGCGTGGTGCTCTTCTTCCCCTGCCCCTGCGGCTGCTTTGCCCCGCCTGTTCCGCCCGCCGCGTCCGTGGGCCCCAGTGTGCGCACGTGCGCCCCACACCCGCTTCACCGACCTGGACCGCGTCCGCATCGGGTGGCCAACCAGTTTCACATGAGGTCGTGTTGCTGCCCGACAAGCGTGCGTGGTGGGCATCTCCGGCTCCACCGAGGCCCCTGCTGCTCCCGGGCACGCCTGCGCGCGTCAAGTCCGCACGCCCTCCCGTAACGAACCGGATGGGACGGCTGCGCCTCGGGGGCTGACGCGGGCGCAGCTTCTCTTGCTCTGAGATCTCGGACTTGCTTTCGTTTGCAGGCCGCCACCACAACTTGGAAGTGAGTGGAGCCGTGCCAGCCCATGCAGCCAGACGCAGCTGCCGCCCGATCTGGGTGTGGCCGGGCACAGCGAGATACCCCCCCCGGCCTCCCGGGGCCTGGGCCGCTCCGGACGCGCCAGGCCCGGCGCGCCGGGGCCCGCGGTGCGCATGTGCCGTGCTGCTTTCTGTTCTCCGGCGGCTCCGTCCCCGCGGCCACCCCCGCCCGCGCGGCGGGGCAGCGGGACGAGGCAGCGGCTGCGCTCCTCCTCCTCCTCGTCCTCCTCCTCCTCCTCCTCGTCCTCCTCCTCCTCCTCCTCCTCGCGCATGCTGGCCCATTTGCTTAGTGCCCGTGCATCGCTGCCACGCTGGAGCGGATCGTCCCGACTCGCTCGGAAAATGTTCACGGGCGGCCACCAGGCTCTGACACTGTTCGCTTTTTCATTCTACGAGGGGAACGAAGAATGACACAGATATAAAACCCAGAGGTCCGCGCGGATTTCTCGGATCCGCTCTGGACCCCAGTGGCGGCGTCTCCTGCGCCGCCCCTGGCGCGTTTCGCGCGCAGTGAGGGGGGACCAACGCCGATCCGACTAATCCGTGCGGACCTCCGAATTTGTATGTCCCTTGTGCACCCAAGGTGGTACCCACCCCCGCACTGCACCCCGCCGCCGCTTGCCCTTGGTGCAGCAGCCGCCGTGGGCCCGCCGGCGGGGCTGGCCGCGCCACCCGCTCGGGGCGTGACCCGTGCCCCTGAGCGACTCGTTCCCTCCGCCCCCTCTTTCGCCCGCGCCCTCCATTTTTCCCCTCCCCCCTGCATGCTGGCACAATTGGTTTCAACGGTATCCCCGTTTAGGCCAGTCCTAGTCCGTTGGCGCCGACGACCCCTGCCCCGCCGCCGACCTTAACACTGGTCCCTGATCACGACGTGATCGTAATGGGCGAAGCTGGCGCCTGCTCCGTTGTTGCCCCAGTGGGTATCCGACCACCACCGGCTGGTACACATGGGTACTCTGTGAGACGGTGATGCTGGGACCCCGTTAAAATTCGAGGGAGGCCAACTCGAAGTCTTGACGGCGAAGAGGCGGAAGAGGGGATTGAGAAAACTCTTTACGTTGCATCTTCGGGGGACCTCGCCTGTCCCCAAACTAAGTGTCTGCTCTTGTGCCCGACGCTGGTTCGATGCGGACTCGACGCGGTTGTGGCGTGGATTCGACGCGGATTCGGCGCGGATTCGACACGGATTCGACGCGGATCCGACGAATCCGACGCGGACACACTGCCTCGACGGGACACACAAAAAGGTCCCCCGAGGATACGACATAAGATTCTCGGCGAAACCTGACAAGATTTGGCCATAAGACGGGCGGCCACGCAACGGTGCCGGCGGAACCCCACCGCAGATCGGGTAATAATGGTGCGCGCGCGCCCAGTCAAATGGTCGGCGGGGGGCGCGGGGGGGCATTTACAGAGGTACCCCCGGCGTCCCCCGTCCCTGTGTCGTTTTTGTCCGTTTCTCTCTCTATCTCTCTCTGTCGTTTTTTTTTTTTTTTTTTTTTTTTTTTTCTCTCTCTCTCTCTCTCTTTCCTTCTGTATTTCTACCTCTCTCGATATCCCTGCGTTTCTTCCTGGCGCTCTCTTGTTTGTTGGTAATCACTTGTCGCTGTGTGCCGTTTTCAACGTTATCCGTCTAGTGTTCGATGTGGTGTCCATGCCTTTTTGTTGTTCGCCCTACTTCCATGGTGGTTGATGCTGAATTAAGTAAAAAATGGTTTCAACGATGTCTCTCAATCGCCATCGCTTGCTCAATGAGTCCGTCTCCCGATCTACTGTTTGGATTTACATGTTCACTCTCTCTCTCTGTTTTCTCTGTCCGTTTCAATCTGATTGTTCGGTTTAACATCAATCGTTTTCCTCCATCAGCCTTCTTCTCTCTCTTTTTCTCTCTGCCACTTTCTCGCTCTTTCTGTCTCTTTGTTTCACACTCTCGCGACTCGTATGCTGCATTGTCTGTACATTGATGCATACCCACTTGTGCGGGAGAGAGCGCGCTTCACGGGCGCATTCGGCGGCGCGTTTCGAACCGGGGGGCCCCCCCCCAACAGTCGGCGCTGTCGATCAAAACCAGGGGTGCTCCCCTTCCCCCCAACCCCCCCTCCTTTCCGGACCCCCCCCCCTCCCCCTCCCAAGGAGGGGGGGGGGGTTGAAAGCCCCCCTCCCTTTTCGGCCCCGGCGCCAGCGGCCGTCAGCCGACGGCGGGCCCGGCGACGATGACCAGAGGCAGCCCAAGGGGGGGGGTTCAAACCCCCCCCTTTGGCGCCGAGGGGGGTGGCGTTTCAACCCCCCACCCCCTCCCCCCTGGCGCCGGCGACGACAGGGACGCAGCGACGACGACCACGACCACCACCACCACCACCAACGCACCACACAACCACCACCACCACCACAGCCACCACCACCACAACCACCACCACAACCACCACCACCACCACAATTCACCATCACCACCACCACCACAAAAAAACCACCACTACCACCACCACCATCACCACAGTCTACCACGCCACCACCACCACTACCAGCAGCACGACCTACCACCACCACCACCACCACAAACCACCACACCACCACCACCGCCACCACCGCCACCACCACCATCACCACCACCATCACCAGCACCACCTCCACAAACCATCGCCTCCACCACAACCCACCACCACCACCACCACCACCAAGCCACAACCACCACAACCCACCACCACCATCATCACCACCACCACAAACCACCACCACACCATCACCACACCACCACCACCACAAACCACCACCACAACCACGACCACCACAACAAACCACCACTCCACCACCACAACCACCACCACCGCCGCCACCACCACCACAACCCACCATCACCACCACCACCGTCGTCCTCGTCGACGTTCCCCGCCGCCGCCGCCCGCCGCCGCAAGCGCCGGCGCCGGCCCAGAAAAGGAAATCGTCGTCCCTGCCGCCGCCGCCGCCAGCCGCCGTCGACGCAGGCGCTGGCCCGAGGAGAGGGAGAGATGAGAAGTAGAGGATGGGGTGGGGTCGGTACCCCCCTTGTCTTCAAAACGACCACAGAACGCGCGTTTGCGAATGTTAATATGTCGCCCTCTTCGGTGGAAGTGCGATTCTCTCGTTCTTGCTACTTCTATATTTGTGTGTGTCGTTCATTTGTTTTTTATGTTTTTCTTTTCTCTCTCTCTCTCTCTCTATTTCCATCTCTCTTGTTTCTCTCCCTCTCTCTCTCTTTCTCCTTCTCTCTCTCTCTAATTATTTTTCTTTTTCTTTCTCTCTCGCTCTCTCTATTTTTCTCTCTCTCTCTCTCTCTCTCTCTATTTCTTTTTTTCTCTCTCGCTTTCTCTCGTTATTTTTTTTTCTCTCTCTCTCTCTCTCTATATATATATATATATATATATATATATCAATGTATATGTATATCCGTCTCTCTCTATGTTTCTCTCGCTCTCTCTCTCTCTCTCTCTCTCTTTTTTTTTTTTTTTTTTTTCTCTCTCTCTCTCTCTCTTCTCTCTCTCTCTCTCTCTATATATATACATATATATATGTATATATATATATATATATATATATATATATGGATATGGTTGTTGTTGTTCTCTCTCTCTCTCTCTCTCTCTCTCTCTGTATCTATGTCTATCGCTATCCCTCCCTCTCTCTCTCTCTCTCTTTCCTTCTCGCTTTCCTTCTCTTCTACATTAATAGATTACGCATATAAATATGTATATTGTTCTACATATGTATGTATGTATGCAACTATGCATGTACGTATATATCAAAGACGCCTACGGCGAATCAGTGCCGTTCCCAGTATTTAAGGGTAAGCCTATGTGGCGAATAATTTGGACAAGGCTCGGGCACGCTACAGGACCATGCGTTCCCCCAACCGTTGTGGAACGCCTTCGTGGAACACGTGGGGGAAGGAAGAGGATGAGGAGAGCGAAGAAAAATGGGGAGGATGGGAAGGAGGAGGAGGAGGAGGAGGAGGAGGAGGAGGAGGAGGAGGAGGAGGAGGAGGAGGAGGAGGAGGAGGATGAGGCCTGGCGGGAACCACTTGGGGCTCTCTTGGGGCCTCCTGGGAGCTTCATGGGGGTTTCTGAGGCCTCTTGCGGGCTTCCCTCGGCATCACGAGGGTTTTTGTTTTGGGGGGCTTTCTAGAGAGGCTCTATTGGCCGTCTTGTGGCGTTCTTGGCCCCTAAGGCGCCGTCGGGCGGCGTCTTGGGGGTTTCTATGGGCCTTCTTGGGTGGTGTTTCACGGATGTCTTGGAGGCCATATTGGACGTTTTGGAAACCTCTTGGGCCGTCTCGGGGCCTTTTGGTGCCGTTTTGGAAGCTTTTTGGGCCGTTAAAGTATGGGGCCATCATGGAGGTTTTTTTGAGATTGTTGGGGCCTCTTGGACCGTCTTTGGGTTGTCGGAAAGCCAACAAAAAAGTAACACACACACGCACACACACACACACACACACACACACACACACCTGAGGATCATCAGATTTTGGCCACTCTGAGCCTTCCTGGAGGCCCTCTCGGAGGCCCCTTGGGTCGTCTTGGAGGCCTGTTGCGGCCTCTCGAGCCGTGTTGGGCCATCTTGGAGCCATCTTGGGCCGTCTTGGGTGCATCTTGGGCCGTCTTAGGTGCATCTTCGAGCCATCTGGGGTTACGGCACCTTGAAGCCATCCTGGCCGTCTTGGAGGCGTCTTGGAGGCATCTTGGAGGCCACGTTGGCTCGCCCGGGCCATCCTGAGGGCGGTTTTGGCCACCAGAGGGGGATTTGGGGAGTTGTCCGGGTGGCCGCCGGCGCAATGAGGCGATTTACAAAAGAACCCCGACCTTCAATGAGGTTTAGCACGCCAGGCACACCTGTTATAAATCAACGGGGGGGGTCGGATATCGAAGATGCCTACGGCGAATCACCGCCGCCCCCTGCTTTTTGGGGAGGCGCCTCTGTGGCTAAACGCGTGGCCAAGCCATCGGACTATGAGTTCCCCAAGCTGCTCTGGAAATTCTGCTGGGAGCACTTGGGATGAAAGGGGGGATCAGGAGAGGGAGGAAGAGGAGGAAGAGGAGTAAGGAAGAAGAGGAGTAGGAGGAGAAGGAGGCCTCCGGGGAACCTCTTGGGGCACATTTGGAGCCTCCTGGGAGGTTCCTGGGGGCCTCCTGGAGGCGTCTTGGGGGTCTCCTTGGGCCTCTTGGGGGCCTGTCGGGCATTCTTGGGGGCCTCTTTGGCCGTCTTAGGGCGTTCCTGGCCCGTCTGACGCCGTCGGGAGCTGTCTTGGGGGCCTCTTTGGACCTATTTGGAGCTCTCTTGGGGTGCTTCATGGCCGTTTTGGAGGCCATCCTGGCCGTCTTGGAGGCCTCTTGGGCCGTCTTGAAGTCCTCGTGGGGCCATCTCGGGAGCCTCCTGGGCCGCTACGTGGCCATCTTGAAAGCTTTTTTGGGGCGATCTTGGGGCCCTTCTGGGCCGTCTTGGACCGTCGGAAGACCTTCAACGAGTTAAGGAACATCATCTGGTTTCGGCCTCTTCAGGCCTGCCTGCTGCCCTTTCTGGAGGCCTCCTGGGGCCGTCTTGGAGGCTCCTTGGGAGCCTCTTGGACCGTCTTCGGCCATCTTGAGGCCAGGGCTGGACCGAAACGGTGCTTTTGGTGATTTCGTGGGCGGTTTTCGTTTAGGTTTCGTTTTGCGGCAAAGGCGGATTCGAGACAAAAGCGAGGGAAAACGACAACAACACGAAAACGAAACAAACCGTTTAGATTCAGCCCTGCTTGAAGCCATCTTATGCCGTCTGGGGTGCATCTTGGGCCCTCTTGGGGGCGTCTTGGGGCCATCTTGGCCAGCTCGGATGCCGTCCTGGAGGCCTTGGAGACCACGCCGGGCCGACTGGGCTGTCTTAGAGGCGACTGGGCATTCTTGCTTGCGGGCGGCCTTTCGTCAGGAGGGGAGAAAAAAACACACAGACACAATTAATCGTCGATCCCCAGGAAGATATGGGAAACTATGGGAAATGGGGGGAAGACAAAAGCCCAGAAGATATAGGAACATGTGGGGCATCCTAGTGTGAAGCCCCAGGTGGAGGTCTTTTGGACCCAGCCAGGCACCCCTGTGGCCGTAAAAACATTCAGCACGCCAGGCCCCCCTCCAGAGGGGGCGGCGGATATCCAATGGCCTTTGGCCCATCCCGTCACCGTGCCTGGGTTGTGGGTCAGAGTTCTCAGGGATGTTTTTTCGGTTCTCTTCGGAGCGCTCTCTGGGACGTCTTGGGAGCGGTTTGGGAGCATCTTGGGGGCCTCTTGGGGACCTTTTGGGGGCCTCCTGGGGGCCTCTTGGGGGCTCCTGGGAGCATATTGGGGCCTCTTGGGGGCGCCTGGGTGTGTCTTCGGGGCCGAGGGCTCGAAATGTTCGCTCGGGTTCGTTCCCCATCTGGGCCTCCTCTTGGGGCCGTCTTTGGGCCGTCTTGGGCGCCTCTTGGGCCGTCATCGGGCGGGCCCTCTTGGGCCCTCTTGGGGGCCTCTGGGGCCGTCGTGGGGCGATCTAGGGAGCCTCGTGGGAGGTCTTGGAGCGTCGGGAAACCGAACATCAGGGCTCGTTTCGATTCATCCTGTCCGATCCGATTCAGCTTCGACGGTTTCCGATTCCGATTCGATTCGACTTCGGATTCCGATTTCTCAATGGAGGCCTACTAGCCTGCCGATTTCTGCCGATTCGACTTCTGGCGACTTGGCTGCCGATCTCCGCCGATGCGGTTCAGTTCGCCGATTCGACTTGTCGATTCGATTTTGGGCTCTCCTGGAAAATGCGAGAACGCCAACATCCTACAACCACACACGGAAAACATTATTTCAGCCATTTCGGGCCCTCTTGGGAAGCCTCTTGGAGGCCACTGAGGTTGTCTTGGAGGCTCCTTGGGGTCGTTTTGGGCGTCTTGGAGCGATCTTTCGGCGATTCGGAGCACTTTAGGATCATCCCGGGTGTCTCCGACTTTTCAGGGGCTAGGATTGAGGCTTAGAAGTGTTAGTCAAGGGACCTGAGGACACGCCCATGCGTGCCAAGCGGCACGGTGGCGGATTAATGTATGCCCGTATACAGACTTGTATGGCCATACCATTTCCCGTGAAACGTGAAACGCACGCCGTCTTCCGTTCCAGAGCTGATCTGGCTCAAAAGCAGGTGTTTCCTGGCCTTGAGCCAGAGAGTGAGGCCCTCCCCCTCGCCCCGCCTCGGGGTGCCGCCCTTTGCTGCCCGAGGTGCGAGGGAGGGCCGTCCGCCGCGGCATCGCGCGGCCCCGCCGCACGCCTGGCGGGGCAGGCGCCCGCGGCGGCCGCGGGACTGGAGGCCTATGGCCGAAGCCGCGAGAGCCGATGGCGGCGCGGTGGACGCGGAGGGCCTCATCAGCGAGGAGGAGGGGCTCGACGGGGGCGAGCGCGTGCCGTCTCCCGACGGCGCTGCCGCTGCGGCAGCCGAGCCCGAGCGGATTGTGCCCGAGGAGGTGTGCCGGAGCACGGGGTGGAACGCGCAGGGCCAGGAGCAGTGCACCTTCTACTGGATGGCGGTGCGGGTCGCGGAGCGGCTCCTGTTAAGCGACGACGCCTACTGGGACTGGTGGGCCTCGAACGCTGGAGCGCCAGGCGCGATCAAGGCGTCGTTCCTGCTGCGCGTCTGCCGGGGCGTGCCTTGCGACGTCCAGCCCCCCCGTGCGTGCGAGGAGCTGGTCCACGTGACGGACGCTGTGCGCCTGGGCCGAGAGAAGGTCGAGGCTGCCTTCGACGAGTGCCACGCGAGCAATCCAGAGGCGGTGTGGCCCGCGCAGCTCCTTTGGCCGCGCGGGAGCGGCGGCGGACGCCCCCCTGCTCTCCGCCGCGGCGAGCGCCCGGCGCTTGCGAGAGGGCCGCCTGCCGGACCCTTCGACGAGCTGTTGGAGGGCCACGCTCTCGCCGAGCTCGAGGCGGCGCCGTCGGGCCAGCCCGCGCTCCGCGAGGCCCTGCAGAGCAAGCTGCAGGCCGCGAGGGTGCGCTTCGCCGACGCAGCGGGCCCCGCGAGGGCAGGCGCGGCTGCTGCTGCGGGCCCAGGCGCCCCCGCCGCGGCTGCCGAGCCACCGAAGTGCGGTCTCGCGTACATCTTGGCCGAGAGGGCTGGGAAGGCCGCGAAGGTGGCTGCGGCTGCTGGAGGCGATGGGGCCGCGGCCGCCTCGCGCGGCGCCGAGGGCGGGGCGAGCGGCGGCGTGCAGCAGCTCGCCTCGGCGCTGATGATGGCCCTGAAGTCGATGGCGGCGCAGGCGGCAGGCGGCGCCGAGTCCTCCGCTGGCGCAGATCTGCTCTCGGGGGCGGACGGCGCCGACCTGCCGCGAGGGCTGGCAGCGAAGCGGGCGCACTGCAGGAAGCTCGCGACGGAGTGTCCGGGCAGGCTGTCGGGGCTCACCCTCGGCGAGATGGCGTCGTTCCTGGGCGGCCTCGACGGGGAGACGTCGGTGGACCCGTCGTCGGCGATCGCGCTGCGATACCTCCTCACAGTCTACCTGCCGCAGAATCCGGCGGCGCAGATCGGCTCCGAGGCCTACCGCGAGATGCGGACGCTGTCGGAGGCGATCGACTGCCTGCTCCAGGGCAAGACGGCGCAGACCCTGGGCCTGCTGACCCAGCGACTGAAGACGCTCCAGACCGCTGTTGGCGACGGCCACTGGCACGCGGCGAAGTGGCTCGAGCTGATCCCTGCCCGCGACCAGCCGACGACGCCCAGGAAAAAAGGAGGAGGAGATGATCCGCAGCATCGAGATGGGCGAGCTCAAGCTGGAGGAGCTGCCGGCGAAGCTGCGGAAGCCGGGCTAGGGGTCTGGCCGGGAGGAGGCGCGCCCGCCGTTGGCGCCTCCTCCTGCAGGCCGTGCGGGGGGGGGGGGCCCCGCTGCAGCGCGGGAGCAGCTCGGCCGCCTGTCCCCGCGGCCCGCGGCGGCGTCGGGCGCGGCCAAGGCTGGGCGGCCGCCGGGGCAGCGCGCGGCGCAGCTCGACGATCGCTCCGCGGAGGACAAGATCGGCTGGAGGGCTGCGAAGACGAGGTGGCCGAAGAAGGAAGGCGAGACGGCGAAGGCCTATACAGCGCGCGCTTGCTGGAGGCCACGAGGGCCCACCGCAAGTGATTGGGACGCCGGCGGCGCCCCCGGCGGCCCCAGCAGCGTGCCGGAGCGATTCTGGGCCGCCGCGCTCTGGGCCCAGAATCCTGGCCGCGGCGCCCGCGGCGGCCCCGGCGGCCCCAGCAGCGTGCCGGAGCGATTCTGGGCCGCCGCGCTCTGGGCCCAGAATCCTGGCCGGGGCGCGCGCGGCGCCCCCGGCGGCCCCAGCGGCGTGCCGGAGCGATTCTGGGCCGCCGCGCTCTGGGCCCAGAATCCTGGCCGCGGCGCCCGTGGCGGCCGCGGCGGCCCCAGCGGCGTGCCGGAGCGATTCTGGGCCGCCGCGCTCTGGGCCCAGAATCCTGGCCGGGGCTGAGGCGGCGCCGCCTGGGTCGCTGCCGCTGGAGGCGCCTGGGGCGGCGGCTACCCCTGTGGCAAGCGCCGCAGCCGCAGGCGGGGGCGCGCCGGTGGCGGCTGCTACCCCTGCGGCTGGCGCTGGCGAGGCGGCCAGCTGGCGGGCCTCGATCGGCGTCCGCTTCGGCGCGGAGGTCTCGGAGGTCGACTTCGCGATCCACTTGATGCAGCTCGTGGAGTACCACCCTGGCAGCCTGGGATCCTTCTGCAGACAGTTCTCAGCGCACGTGACCACACTTTGCGGGAGCGGCAGACGCGTTCGCGACCTTCTGCCGCTGCCCCTGCCTGATGTTACGGCTGCCAGGCGCTGGTCGGACAGCAAAATGAAGGGATGTGCCCCGCGGAGTCGGCCTGTCGCGCGTCAGGCCATGGAGGAGGCCTGGCTCTTTGTGGTGGTGGTCGGCCTCAACTACCTGTACTGCGGCCGCTGCAAGGAGGCTTGGAGGCACCACCCGCGTTTGTCGCAGGCGCAGGAACGGTCCCTGGCTTTCTTGCGGGAGCGCGTCATGAGCTTCGTCGGGGACCCGTTCAACCAGATCGTCGTCCCCTCCGCGAGCGCGGCCCTGGCTGAGTCGACGGTCGACTACGCGGGTGAGCCGGTTGCGAAGGCGTTGCCCTGCGTACTCGCGGAGCTGGCCCCAGGGCTGCCTCAGGCCGAGCACGCTGCGACGCTGGAGGCGCTGGACTTCGTGGGGCCCGACGTTGCAGAATGGCTCTCGGCGCCGGAGAAGGCCCTCCTGCCCGAGGCAGACTGGCCCGCCCCCCTGCCGCGGGCGAGGGTCAACGTCGACTCCGAGGCGGGGTTGCGCGAGCTCGCGGTTCACCTCGTTGACCTCGGGATTTTCACGGTGCTGCCCGAGGAGAGGCTCATCCGGGTGCGGGGCGAGCTGCTTCTCAACGGCCGCTTCGCAGTCGAGAAGAAGGGTGTGCCAGGCCCTGGGGCCGCCCGCGTCACCAGGCTCATCTTGAACATGGTGCCAGGCAACGCTCTGCTCAAGCCGCACGTGGGCGAGGCGTCGGCGCTGGCCAGCTCGACGAGCTGGACCTCCCTTCAACTTCCCGAGGGGAAGCTGCTGCTGTGGTCGGGCGACGACCAGAAGGGCGCCTTCTTCGTCTGGAGGGTGCCCGCGGCCTGGCACCCGTGCATGGCGGTGGGGAGGCCGCTCCCTGGCGCGCTGTTCGGCCGCCCCGAGCGCCAGGTGTACCTCGCGTCCGCCGTCATCGCGATGGGCTGGATGCTGGCCGTGCCCGTCTACCAGCATATCCACCGCAGGCTGTGCCGCCTGCCGCCGCCGTCAGGCGCGGGCTTGCCGCCTGACCTGGAGTGGCGGAAGGACGAGGCCCGCCCCGCCGTCGAGGCAGGCAGCGGGCGCGATGCCGGCTGGTGGCAGGTCTACATCGATGATTTCGATGCGCCCGAGATTGTGGAGAAAGTGCGCGCTCGCCAGATGATAGGCACTGAGGCCGACCTGCAGCAGCATGCAAGAGAAAGCTACCGGCGGGCTGGCGTTGCGTACTCGGCCGAGAAGGCGCACCTGCGCCAGCTGCGGGTCGAGCGCATGGGCGCGGACATCGACAGAGAGAGCGGGGGGCTTGCGGCGCCGCGGCAAAAGGTCTTGGCCATTGCGGCCCTCTGCTTCGCGACGCTGGCGCTGGAGACTGTGCCGCGGCGGGTGTGCATGACGGCCCTCGGGAAGCTCGTGCGGGCGTTCGAATTCAGGCGCCCGCTCTTCGGCCTGCTGAACTCCATCTGGGCGCTCTCAGGCGCGCGCGCAGCTGTGCGCTACAACGCCGAGATGGTGGAGGAACTGGTCCTCAGCCTCATGCTGCTGCCTGCGGCTGCCACCTCCCTGCGCAGCCACCTCGACGGCATGGCCACCGTGTCGGACGCCTCGGAGTTCGGTGGCGGCGTCTGCGCGCCCACGGGCTTGAGGCTCGAGGCTCACACGGCACTCGGGGCAGCTGGTGAAGTTGCAGATCACCTCGGAGTTGGGGCGCGGCTCCTGAACATGCCGACGGACCCGCGGCGCCCGTGGACGACGTCGAACCCTCGCATCCCGGCATCAGTCGTCGTCAGACTGCTCAACGTGCTTGTGGTGGGCCTGTTCGACGGCATCGGGGGCCTCGCTGTGGCCTTCTCGCGGCTGCCCGTGCGGATTGTCGCCTACGTCACGGCCGAGACGGACGCGAAGGCCAGGCGGGTGGTCAGGCTGCGTTGGCTAGGAGCGATCGTTTGGGGCGACGTCGCGCGCGTTGACGAGCGCTGCGTCGAGGACCTGGTCGCCGCCTTCGGCCATGTCGTCGACGTCTGCGTCGCGGGCGCTGGCAGTCCATGCCAGGACCTGTCTCGCCTCAACGCGAGCGGAGGCGGCCTGCGAGGACGCAAAAGCTCGCTGTTCTTCGAAGTCCCGAGGATCTTCAGCCTCCTGCGGAGGGCCTTCGGCAGGAAGCTTTACTCTCTGCTCGAGAACGTGGCCAGCATGTCGGAGGCCAACGTCCGTGCGATCACCGAGCGCACGCAGGCTGTGCCCTACTTGATCTGCTCGTCGGCCCTCGTTCCGTGCCGAAGGCCGCGGCTCTGCTGGCTCAGCTGGCAGCTGCAGCTCGCGGAGCCGTACAGCATCGTCGACAGGGGCTTCTGCTTGGAGGTCGTTGCAGAGACGGGCGCGGCGATTGACTTCGACTGGGAGGACGCCGGCTGGCGCTGGGACGGGCGCCCTGCCTCGTTCCCGACGCTCGCGTGCTGCAGGCCGCTGCCGAGCTTCCCGTGAGCCCCGCGTGGGCTCGCCCAGGCCACGAGCGAGGCTAGAAGCCGTTGGCAGGCCGACTCCTTTCGCTATCCTGTTTTGCTATACGAGGACAAAAACCTTCTGCGATGCCTTGCTAGCGATCGGCCTAGACGACTCCCGAGCTGCGAGGAAAGAGAGCGGTTGCTGGGATTCGATGTCAGTTACACCGCCGCAGCGACGAAAGGCTCGAACCCGATCGACGCGGCGGACGCCAGGTGTTTCCTCCTCGGCAACAGTTTCAGCGTGCACGCCGTGGCATGGGCTTCGCAGCACGTCCTCCTGGCGGAAAGGGGCTCTAGAGCGGCCCTTCACGGTCGAGGAGCTGGCGCACGTGGGCCAGTGCCGCGAGACCTGGGACCAGTGCGGGACCTTCGAGGACAGCGCGGGCATCCCGGACACCGAAGAGGCGAGGTTCCTGGTCCTGCACTACCTCAGCCGGGCGGAAAAGGGCGGCTCGGACATCCGCCTCGACTGCGGCCTGCCCTACCGTGCAAGAGGTTGGCCGAGGTCGAGCCTGGGCCCTTTCGCGCGGCGTTGGCGAGTCGTCCTGAGCATGGCGTGGCCGCGGGAGAGGCGCGCGCACATCAACGTGCGCGAGCTGCAGGCGACGCTGGCGGCGCTGCGCTGGAGGGCGCGCAAGTCAGTGCGGCACGGCTCGCGCTGGCTGCACCTCGTGGACAGCCAAGTGGTCGCGGCCATCGTCACCAAGGGCCGCAGCAGCAGCCGCCGCCTGCAGCCGGCTCTTAAGCGCTGGTTGGCCATGGCGATAGCGGCGGACATGTGCCCTCTGATCGGCTACGTTAGGACAACCCCGCAGACGAGCCGTCGAGGAAGCTGTGGCGTCGGCCGCGGCTCAGGAGGCGCGCCGCAGGGCCGCCCGTCGCGCGCCCACGCGGCGCGCGGCTGCTGTGCTAAAGCAGCGGAGCCAGCGCGCGCAGACGCTGGCATCGCTGCGGGTCGGCGCTGCGACCCGAAGGAGATGTGCCGCTGCGGTCCGAGAGCTCCTGAGGCACTACGAGGCGTGCCCCCCAGGATATCGGAGCCCTCGGCGACGACGGAGAGGATGCCGACAGCCTCGTCGCCAACTTCCTCGAGGCAAAGTGGAGCGAGGGAGCTGGCATCGCGCTCGCCAACAACATTGTGGCGGGCGTGATCTTTGCGGTGCCCAGGCTGCGGCGGCGCCTGGACCTCTCCTGGGCGCTGCTGAAGGCGTGGCGCCGCGCCGAGCCTGCAGGCCGGGCGCTGCCGCTCACGCCCGAGATTGCGGGGGCCGTGGCTGGCCTGGCAGCGGAGGCGGCGGCGTTCGACGTGGGCGCCTTGCTCCTCATCGGCTTCGAGGGCATGTTGCGCGGCGGCGAGGCCTTCGCCCTCCGCGGGCAGGATGTGATGGATCGAGGCGAAGTCATCGTCCTCCGGATCAGCACGTCCAAGACGACGGCGGGCAAAGATGGCGCCGAGGCCGTGGTCATCCGCTCGCGGGTCGCAAAGGAGATGCTGCGGCTGGTTGCGCGGCATCGGCGCGCCGACGAGCCTCTGTCGCGGCGGTCGCCCGCGCAGCTGAGGAGCGCGCTGGCGGCCCTGGCGCGCGGGCTGCCGGTGCCAGGCCCGTTCTCGTGGCATTCGTGCCGCCGCGGAGGCGCTTCCGACTTTTTTTCCTGAAGTCGTCTTCGATGGAGGCCACGCTCGTCGCGGGCCGCTGGGCGTCATCGATGACGGCGCGGCTCTACGTGGAGGGCGCCGTCGCCGACCTGGTGAAGGTGCGGCCCCAGGACCAGGCCGCCTCAGCCGTACAGTACGGCCTTGCACTGTTGCGCGCCTTCTTTGATTGTTCTGAATGATCTCCTCTCGCGCATGCATGTTATAAGCAGTAGCAGCAGCAAAGGACAAGCCTCTGCAATTAAGTGTGGGGAGGGGTGGAGAGTCAAACAGCATTTTCACACGGCCTTTTAGAGCCAAGGAGGGAGTAAGTGGTCTAGCAGGTTTCCCCCTCCCGTGCGCGTGGGCCGAGTGCTCCCTGTCAGGGCCTGGGCTGCCCTCGGGGTTCCTGGGAGGGCAGCGTGGTTGTTGGGGCGTCCCCCCAGGGCCTGGGCTGTCCTCGTGGCTCTCGGTGAGGCGCAGCGTGGCTGTTGGCAGGGACGATTCGGTAGCACGCAGGAGGGGGCGGGGAAACGAGCTAATAGACCATTGGCGTGGTCACGTGCGCGGAAAAACGGTATATGTATAGCAGTTATCGCATATCAACGCATGTGTGTATACATATATTTGTACACACACACATATATATATATATATATATATATATATATATATATATATAACGGCGCACCGGGTCCAGGGGCCCGGGGCCGGGACCCCGACCGCAAATGTAGGCCCCGGGGGGCCCGGAGGTTCGTCGGACCGCTGGACGCCGTCCAAGATCGTTCGCAGGCGGCTTCGGGACGCGCTCCGATGGCTCCAGATGCCTTCCAAGACGCTTGTCATGACACCAAGACGGTCTCAGAAGCCTCCAAGACGCTCCGAGAGGCAGCCCAAGAGAGGCCCAAGGAACAAACATCGTGTCATTCCTATGGGAAAACGTATATTTTTCGCATGTTCGCATATTGGGCTTTCGCCGCGTCCAAGACGGCCCAAGAGGCCTCCAAGACGGCCTAGGAGGCCTCCAGGAGCGTTCCAAGGCTGCGCACGAGTGGCTCAGGACAGCCCCAAGACGGCCCAAGAGAGCCCCAAGACGAGTTCGAGAGGGGTCCCAGACGGAGAAAGCCAACCTCGAATTCCGAGCTTCCGGCCCAAGCAGCTCCAGGAGGCGCCAAAATGCCGCCAAGAGGCGCCACAAGGCTCCCCAAAGCACTCCAAGACGTTCCGAGAGGCACCCCAAGAGAGGTCCGAGAAGCACAAATCGTGTCATTCCTATGGGAAAACGTATATGTTTCGCATGTTCGCATCTTGGGCTTTCACGGCGTCCAGGACGGCCCAAGAGGCCTCCAAGACGGCCTAGGAGGCCTCTGGGAGCGCTCCAAGGCTGCGCACGAGTGGCTCAGGACGGCCCCAAGACGGCCCAAAGGAACCCCAAGACGACTTCGAGAGGGGTCCCAGAAGGAGAAAGCCACTCTCGAATTCCGAGCTTCCGGCTAAACACATCCCAGGAGGCGCCAAAACGCCGCCCAGAGGCGCCAAAAGGCTTCCAAAATCAGCCCAAGACGTTCCGAGAGGCACCCCAAGAGAGGTCCAAGAAACAAAAATGCTCCCATTCCCATGGGAAACGTATACTTTTCGCATGGTCGCCTGTTGGGTTTTCACCGCGTCCAACACGTCCGAAGAGGCTCCCAAAACAGCCTAGGTGGCCCCCAAGAGAGTTCCAAGACGGTTCACGAGGCGCCAAGGACGGCAAAATTGGATTCCAAAATGGCCTAAGAGAGCCCCAAGGCGTGCCCGAGAGGGGTCCCAGAGGGAGAAAGCCACTGTAGAATTCCGAGCTTTCGGCCCCAAGAGGCTCCAGGAGGCGCCAAGAGAGCTCCAAGAAGCCCCCACGAGAGACCCAGGACGCCCCAAGAGGCTCCAAAGGCGGCCCAAGAGAGCCCCAAGATGGGCCCGAGAGGGGTTCCACGCAAGTTGTTATTGTATGGCTCCAGGAGACCCCAAGAAATTCGCAAAAACACCAAAAGAGGCCCCGAAGACGCCCCAAGGGGCACCCCGAGAGAGCCCTAATAAGCAAAAATCGTAGATTTCCCGAAGGGAAACTGATATTTTGGGCGTGTTCGCCTTTTGGGCTTCCACTGTGTCCAAGACGGCCCAAAAGGCACCCAAGCCGGTCGAGGATGCCCCCAAGAGGACTCCATCCAAGACTGCCCACGAGGTGGCCAAGACGGCCCCCGAGGCGCCCGAAGCGCCCAAGAACGCCCCGAGGGGGCGCCGAAGACGGGGACGAGGAGCCGGAGATGCGCTCCTTTTGCCCCAAGAGGCCCCCAGGAGACCCCAAGAGGCTCCAAAAAGCGCCCAAGAAGCACCAAGAGGCCCCCAAGAGACCCGAAAAAGCACCCAAAGAGGCCCCGAAACAGCCCCCCAATGGGCCCCCCAAAGCGGCCCCAAGAGAGCCCCAGGGCGCGCTCCAAGAGGGTCGACCAGGGTCCGTCCCTCGCGGTGCCTCAAGCAGGCGTTGCCACGGGAGTCCCCTCTTGCGGAATGTTCTGGGTCAGCCGTTCGACCTGTTGCAGTCTGGCTAGCAAAGGAGGAGGAGGAGGAGGAGGAGGAGGAGGAGGAGGAGGAGGTGGAGGAGGAGGAGGAGGAGGGGGAGGAGGAGGAGGAGGAGGAGGAGGAGGAGGAGGAGGAAGGAGGAGGAGGAAGGAGGAGGACAATCCGACATTCAGGCGTTGCCCGGGTCTGAGGTTGAACCTGAGCGCGCGCGAAGCGCGCGCGTTGGTTCTATTATATATATATATTATATATATATATATATATATATAGATAGATAGTATATATACATATATACATTTATACATATATATATATATATGTGTAAAAAATGGGTACGGGGTCCCAGGCCCTCCGAAGTGCACTGATGTATCTTCCGGCCGTTTCGGGCCCGGCGGGGGGCGCAAAAAATCGTCAAGATGGCCGAGAGACGTCCAAGAAAGCGCCCAAGATGGCCCAAGAGCGCTCCAAGAGAGCCCAAGACCGCACAAAAGCGTTTCAAAATTGGTCCACCATGGATGGCTTGAAGACAGCCAAAGAGGGCTTCAAGACGGACAATATATTCTCAACAGGACTCCCACGAGGCACTCAGGAGGCGAAACAAGTAGGTTTATCTATGGTGTTTGAAATTGTTTCGTGTTCTCGCTCGTTCGTGCTTCAGACAGTCCAAGACAGCCCACGAGGCCCCAGAAATCAGCTCAACACGGCCTAAGATACACCCAAAGAGGGCGCCACGACGGCGCAAGAGAGCCCCAAGGCGGCCCACGAGCGCACGAGCGCCCCAAGACGGCCCACGAGACGCCCAAGATCGCCCAAGAGGGCCCCAAGACGGCCCCAAGAGGGGCCCAAGAGGGGGAACACGAACCGACCATTCGAGCCTTCCGCCCCCAGAGGCTTCCAGGAGGCCCCAAGAGGCCCCCAACAGAGCCCGAGAGGCCCCAGGGCCCACGAGGCCCCAAAGGGGTCAAAAAGACGCCCCGCGAGCACCCCAAACGGCCCCCAAGAGGCTTCCAAAATTGCCTTCAAGTGGCCCCCAGGAAGCCTCCCACGAATCCCAAACGAACTTCCAAGGGGCCTCTAACCCACAACCCAGGCACGGTGGCGGGATGGGCCGAAGGCCAGGAGACCCCCAGGAGGGGTCAAGAGGTCCCCAAGAAGCTTGGCGACAGATCACCAGTCGACCGGTCGATGAGAGCGGAGGAGGAGGCATGAGGAAGAGGCGGGAGGAAACAGAGAATGTTGACTTCATTACTAATGACCGCCTTGTTGTCTCAATGCGGTCAGCACTCGACCAGCTAGAACCTAAGTGCGCGCGAAGCGCGCGCGATGGTATGTATGTATGTATGTGTGTATATGTATATATATATATACACACGTATATACATAATGTATACGCCGCCCCCCCATGCAGGCCCCGACCCCCACCTTCGGGACATCTCCAGACGATGCACGGTACCGCCCTCCAAGGGCTCCTGGCACGCCGCAGTAAGGCCTCGGGACGGCCAAGGACGCCCCCAAGAGCCCAAGAGTGCCCCAAGCGGCCCAAGACGGCTCTCCAGGCGCCCCCAAGACAGTCCAAGGCGGCTTTCCGTCGGCCCTCGAGGCCGCCCACAGCGCCCAATGGTGTGCCCCGTGGCTCACAAGAGACACCCCATACCGCCCAAGATACGCCAGGATTTTCCGAACAACAACAACAACAAGGAACATCTATGATTGCGCAGGATCCCCAAGAAGGCCCCCGAGAGGCGCCCCAGGCGGCCCGAAGGGGGCCCCAGGCGCACCGACGAGGGCCCGAGGAGGCTCCTAAGTCAGCGAGCGAAGAACTGTATAAGATAAACTTTTCGCCGTCGGGGACACCTGCCCCTGGGCGGCTGGAAAGTTTGTACCCCTACGGTGCCACCGTAGGGGTATGATTTTTTCCAGCCGCCCAGGGGCAGGTGCCCCCGACGGCGAAAAAGTTTATCTTATACCGCTCCTCGCCTGTCAACCAAGACGCCCCGACGACCGCGCATGATCCCCAAGAAGGCCCCAAGAGGCGCCCCAAGCGGCGGCCCCAGACGCACCGACGAGGGCCCGAGGAGGCTCCCAAGACGCCCCGACGACCGCGCAGGAGGCCTCCTCCCAAGAGCCCACAGGAGGCGCCAGTCGGTCGGGGGGACAGCCGCTCGGCCCCCGCGGGCGCCCACACGGCGCGCCGCCGGGCGGGGCGTGCCGGGAGGCCCCGCCCCCCGCCGCGCGCCTCCTCCTCCCTGCTCCTCGCGCGCCTCCTCCTCCTCCTCCTCCTCCTCCTCCTCCTCCTCCTCCTCCTCCTCCTCCTCCTCCTCCCCCTCCTCCCCTCCTTCCCTCCTCCTCCTCCTCCTCCCCCTCCGCCCCCTCCCTCCTCCTTCCTCCTCCTCCTCCTCCTCCTCCTCCTCCTCCTCCTCCTTCTCGGGGTCGGCCACGCGCGCAGGGCTGCGCGGGGGCTGCCCCAGAGGCCAAAAGACGACCCAAAGGAGGGCCCCCAAGAAGCCTTCGAAACGCCCAAACAAAACTTCCCCATGGCGTCGGCATGCTTTGGGGAGTGCTCTGCTCGTCGGTCTTCCGGGCGTCCGAGACCGCCCAGGAGGCCAGAGAATCGCCTCAAGTTCAACCAAGAGGGCATCCAGGCAGCGCAAGAGGAGCCCCAAGACAGCCCCCAACATGGCCCCAAGATGACCCGAAGATCGCCCCATGATTCATGATGGCCCAAGATCACCCCACGATGACCCCCGAATCATTCCAAATCGTGACCTGGTCGTTCAGGGAGACCGGGGTTGGAAGCAGGGTGGCCCAGGGAGTCCCCCGGAGGCCCCCAGAAGGAACTCAAGAAGCTTCCAGAAGGCCTCAACAAGCCCTTAACAAGTTTCGTGAGGCCCCTGAGAGGCTCCTAGGATGAGCCTCCACAAACAGAGCTGAGGATGGGGACGAATTCTCAGGGTAGGGCGAGAATTTGGAAGAGGAAGAGGAAGAGGAAGCAAGAGGGAATTATGACGACAAACATTATCACAACGGCGATGCCGAAAAGGCAACAACGATGTATCGCTAAATGTTCCGTTTTACCTTGTTGCCCTATTGTTTGCATGCCAAGCCGCAAGGACCAACGTGCATGGTGCGAAGCCCCAACGCAATCTTGCACATTTGTCTATGTTGGTGTTGCTGTTGTTGTCTATGTTGTTGCTGCTGTTGTTGATGTTGATGTGGTTGTTGTTTTTGTGGTGGTGGTGATGGTGGGTGTTGTTGTTGCTGTTGTTGTTGTTGTTGTTGTTGAACTCTCATGTCTGAAGAATAATTATTGCTGATCCCCCTCACGGGATGATTCTGGGGCGCTTATGCGAGCGCGCTCTGTGAGGACCGTGCGCAAGTACCATTACGTGAAAGCACTCAGTAAATCGCTAGGGGATGTGGAATGAACACTTGTTGAGTTCACGACGTCGGTGCGCAATGTAGAACCTGACGTAAAACACGACGTAACAATACTACGTACAACCACTACTTGCGTACATCATTCTCTTAGGTGGAATCGGCACTACACAGTTCACAGCGTCAATGAATGCCATACGTAAAACATCACGTGGACACAGCACGTGCAATCTCTACGTACATTCATTACGCTCCTGGGATGCGCCTGGGATGCTTCCGGGGCGCTACTGCGAACGCGCTACGTGAAGACGCTACACCAATACTCTTACGTGAATCGACTGCGTAAGTGGCCAGGGGGGGTAGATAGACACCACGTGAGTTCACTACGTCAATGCACTACGTAAAACACAGTAAAGCAAAACTATGTCAATCCACTGCGTGCGTACACTACGCGTCCGGGATGCTTCTAGGATCCGCCTGGGCTGCTCCTGGGACCTGGGGCTCTGCTGCGAGCGCGCTACGTAAGGGGGCTGCGGAAATACAAGGCATGACGACAATACGTAAATCGTACGGGGGTGGAAACATCATTACGTCAGTTCGCTACGTCAATGCATTTCGTAGGACACTGCGTAACAAACACGGCGGGGAAACACTGCGTACGTGTTTTACGTAAAAGAGACGGTGAACCAACCTTACGTACACGCAGCACGTAAAGTTCTACGCGCATGCATTGCCTACGTACAATACGGGGGATACGTTTGGTAATTGCAGCAATACGTGGGTGCATGACCTAAGTCGTTTGAGCGACTAGGCTACGTAATCACATACGCTACGTGAGAACACGACGTTGAAGCCACTACGAACGAGCACTACATGAATCATGTGCGGGTGCACAACGTGAAATCAGCCACACCTACGTAACACACAAGGCTATGCACATACAGTGCGTTGTTAGCACCACCACTACGTGTGCTGTCTACGCAATTTTTGACACACTTCTCAAACACAGTACGTTGACTATCTATGTAGCGTTTATCGCCTAGTGTGTTTTTGTAGCGTCCAGTCCACCATTCGGACCAAATCTCCATGTCAGCTGTAGGTGTATTCGTGCTCGTCGCGAGTTCTCTCTTATTTGTTTTATGTACCCGTGGATTGCACATGATGCCGAATTGCAGGCTCCATCCATTGCATCATTTGGTCCCGGAGCCGTTCATGCGATACTGTATTTGCATGTCTCGTCAGGGACTTCCCCCCCACGCCCCCGAGGTTATTATCAGTTCATGGTGTTGATCCTATGTTTACATTTCCTACCTATATGGCAGGGCTTGCTATCGCGAGGTTGGGGTTATCTGCAATTTGCTGCGATGTTTACACCATGAACCCGCACCATCGACTCTTCCATCATTCCTGATCCCCCTCCCTCCGTCCCCCTCCGCAACCCTGCTGGCAGAAGCAATTTGGCTGGAGTCACCGCTTCAACAAGCGTCTTGATTGCCAGTCGCATTGCCTATACATCATGGCAAAATTGTTGACGCTTCGCGTATCCCCACCAGCCCATCCAGAAACGATGCTCAGGGGAGTTGAGGTGATCAGGGAAGTCGGGGAGCATGCAGAATAACAAAGGGCGGGGGAAGCTGTCACAGACCCCGAGAGGGGGAGGATGGAAGAGGAGTCGTCGTCGTCGTCGTCGTCGTCGGAGGAGGAGGAGGAGGAGGAGGGGGAAGAGGAGGAGGAGGAGGAGGAGGAGGAGGACGGAGAAGGAGGAAGAATCGGAGGAGGAGGAGGAGGAGGGGAAGGAGCTTCTTGGGGGTCTTTTGAGGGCCTCTTGGAGGGCTTTTTGGGCGCCTTGGGGCATCTTGGGCGCCTCTTGGGACCCTCTTGAGGCGCTCTGGGGAGCCTTCGGGGCGCTTTTGGGGCCATCTTGGAGGGAGTCGATCAAACAAGAGGGGGGGTTTAATTAGCGTCCCCCCTCGGAAGCCCCTAAAATCGCCTCTTGGACCCCTCTTGGAACGCTCTTGGAGTGCTCTTGGGCGCTCTTGGGGCCGTCTTGGGGCTCTTTTGGGGCTCTCTTGGGGCCCTCTTGGGCCATCTTGGAGCCATCTCCAGGCCTCGGATGGCCATCGGAAGCGAAAAGGCGAGAAAGCAAAAATCATTGATTTTCCTTAGGTTTTGGGACGATTTTGGCCTCTTCGGGGCCTCCTTGGGGAGCTGTTTGGCCACTTGGAGTTATCTTGGGGCCGTCTTTGGGCTTCTTGGAACCATCTTAGGAGCCATCGTGAGCGATCTTGCGCTATCTTGAGCCATCTTGGAGCTCATCTTGGGTTCTCTGAGGCGCTCTTGGAGCCGTCTTGGGCCATCTTGGACGCTCTAACTACCCGCGGCCCCCCCCGTCCAGGTCCAGGGGAGGGGGTAGGGGGAGGGGTAAACCCCTCCCCAAGGGGGAAGAGGGAGGGGTGGAAGAGGATCTGCTCTAGACCACCTACGCCCAGAGGGCTGGTGGGACTCAGTGCGATCCAGAGGGTCGTGGAAGCATATCTCATCAGCGTCGCACCAAGCACGCCGGCATTTGGCTTCTTGACCCTGGTGCCGTGGAGCTCGCAGGAGAAGCCGGCCAACGTGTTGGCATCTGGGGCAGGTTGTGGAGAGTTGATTTTGGAAAGCATCGCCCAGATAGTGGAGCAGCACGAGGTCGTGTTGATCGTATCTGTATACAGGACGAAGAATGAGAAAAGAAGCGTGGTATGCCTTTTAACGTCTGTTCCTGCCAACGGGGCTTCTGTTCCTGCCAACGGGGCTTTGGAAATCGGGCCCCTGCGGCGATGGATCCTGATGATGGTGGTGATGATAATGACGATGGTGATGGCATTGATGATGATGAGGAGGTGGAGGAGGATGATTGTGACGATGGTGTGGATGGTGATGGTAGCGTTGGTGTTGGTGATGAAGATGATGATGATGATGGTGATGATGATGATTGTGATGATCATGATGAGCTCGTCAGCATCAGTACCACCACCTTCCTCATCGTCATCATCGTCGTCATCGGGGGAAGAGGGGAGGGTGATCAGGAAGAGCATGGAAGGGGAGGAGGTCCACTGGTGGGAGAGCATGGTGAGATGCTGTTTCGAGGTCCACTGGCTTTGGGCGCCAGCGCCCGTCAGCGGGGCCACCCCGAATTGGGGGGTTCGCCATCCCCTCCTGGTCGACGACGACGACGACGACGACGACGACGGCGACGACGGCGACGACGACGACTGCCGGTCCCAAATCGGTTCAAAATCGGTCCCCAGACCCTTGCCAGGGTGCATTCGGATCAGTTTCCCGTCGGGGATCGACTTCTGGGGGCCCCTGAGTCCGAAGCCGGCCTCCAGAAACCGAAGTCGAGGAACAATCTCCTGAATCGATGATCGCTGGCACTGGTGTCCGTTTGCAATCTTTTGCAGGCCGGGCCACGTCGTGCCCGTAGCCTCGGCGGGGCGTGCGTCGAGAGCTCCGAATCCCCCATAGGTGCATACGGGAGCTGGTAATCCCCATTCGTCGTCGTCGTCGTCGTCGTCGTCGTCGTCGTCGTCGTCGTCGTAGTCGTCGTCGTCGTCGTCGTCGTCGTCGTCGTCGTCGTCGTCGTCGTCGTCGTCGTCGTCGTCGGCGTCGGCGTCGGCGTCGTCGTCGCGTCGGCGGCGGCGTCGGCGTCGGCGTCGGCGTCGGCGTCGGCGTCGGCGTCGGCGTCGGCGGCGTCGGCGTCGGCGTCGGGCGTCGGCGTCGGCGTCGGGGTCGGCGTCGGCGTCGGCGTCGGCGTCGGCGTCGGCGTCGGGTCGGCGTCGGCGTTCGGCGTCGGCGTCGGCGTCGGCGTCGGCGTCGGCGTCGGCGTCGGCGTCGGCGTCGGCGTCGGCGTCGGCGTCGGCGTCGGCGTCGGCGTCGGCGTCGGCGTCGGCGTCGGCGTCGGCGTCGGCGTCGGCGTCGGCGTCGGCGTCGGCGTCGTCCTCGTCGTCGTCGACGGCGTCGTCGTCGTAGCCGTCGCCGCTGCCATCCACGTCGCCGTCGCCGTCGCCGTGCCCGCTGCCGCCGTCGCCGCCGTCGTCGTCGTCGCAGTCGGTGCCGCAGTCGCCGCCGCCGCCGTCGTCGTCGCCGTCGCCGCCACCATCGTCGCCCTCGCTGCCGTCGTCGCCGCCCGCCGCCGCTGCCGCCGCCGCCGTCGTCGCCGCCGCCGTCGCCGCCGTCGCCTTCGTCGTCGCCGCCGTCGCCTTCGTCGTCGCCGCCGCCGTCGTCGCCGCCGCCCCCGTACCCCGCCCGCCGCCGCCTTTCCCGCCGCCGCCAGGGCCTGCGGGCCCCAGCCTCAAAATGGGTCCCCGGACCCTTTCGGGGTCCAAGTGCAAAAGTTTTTCGAGCCGCGTCCGACCGCGGCGACGAGGGGGGGCCCAGGGCCAGGAAGCCTCGAACCTCGATCCGCGAGAGTCGAACTTCGAACCTCGGCGTGCATCCCGTTTTCAAAATCAACGAAATCCGCGCAAAATCGGTCCCCAGAACCTCCCCGGGGTGCCTCCGACGCAATGTTTTGGTCCCGGATCGATTTTGCGACCGTCCCAGGGCCGAAAGCTTCCTCGAACCTCGATGCCCGCTGTCTTCCCCGCCCGTTGGCTCGCGGTGCCCCGGCACCGCATTGCCCCCGCGGCAACCCTCCGTGCGGGCCGAGCGCCCGAGCGTCGTGTCGCCCTCTGGGGGTGGCACGACGCTCGGGCGTCGTCGTCGTCATCGTCGTCGTCGTCGTCGTCGTCGTCGCCGCCGCCGTCGTCGTCGTCGTCGTCGTCGTCGCGTCGAGCGGGCCAGCGGGGCGACGAGGCCTCGTCGCACCGCGAACAAGAGGTTCGGCCGTTTTCGGCCTCCGGGGGCCCTCAGAGGGCCCCAGGGCCGTGACCCAAAAACGACTTGGAAGGAAGAGCACCTCGCCGCGCCGCGAACGAAAATCATGACGGGAGGTTTTCAGCCGCTTTCGGATTCCGAAGGCTCCTTACAGGGCCTTGGGACCGTCAGTAGAACCGGCTGGGACGGAAACCCCCTCCCCCGCGGGCTCCTGGGAGGGGGTGGCCGGGGGTGGCGGCAACGCGACCCCTGAGGATCCGAGACGGCCCGCGAGAACCCCAAAGTGGCTCGGGCTCGGGAATGGATGCTCAGGACGGACGAGGAGGGAAGTGGGGCGGAGGATAAGGGGGACAAGAGGGGAGGAAGGAGCAGAAGGTGGAGGAAGAGAAGGAGCGGGAGATTGAAGAAAGCGGGGAGGAAAGGGAGGATGAGGAGGAGCAGGGATCTTCTTCGAGGAGGCGGCGTCGAGCAGGAGGAGGAGGAGGAGGAGGGAGGGAGGAGGACGGGAATATATAGAACGGTTAAGAGGAGGAGGAGGAGGAGGAGGACGAGGAGGAGGAGGAGGACAAAGACGACGACTACGAGGGGGGACCCAAAGCTGACGGTTGATGATGATGATGATGGTGACGATGCGGACGATGATGACGATGACGACGGCGACGACGACGATGATGATGATGGTGATGATGATGTCCACGTGCCCAGCTAAATTTAAAGCGGGTGCAAAGTGCGCGTACTTCTGACATATCTTCAAAAACTGATGTATAATAGGCTCCGGCTTACATGTGTACATATACACACATATGTACAAACGTATTTCTATGCATGTACACACATACATATACGTACGTAAAAACGTGGGCAGACCCGTCCGTTCAAGTACACACATACACATACATGCACTGCCATGGACAAAGTCTGCCAACCCGCGCGCGCACGCACACATATGTGTAACCATACCACAACACTCATACAGTAGGTTCGCGTCGTGTCGACCGGCGGCGACCCCGCCGCCGGCGTTCAACGTTGAGCGCCGCCGGCAGCCCAGAATCGTTCGACGTTGAACGATCTGTCGTTGGGGGAACCGCCGATCGTTCAAGGTTGAACGATCCACGCGGTGTCGGCAACCAACGCCGGGGTCGACACGACGCGGACATGACGTATACATCTAAGTGTGTGCGCACACACATTCGCACATTCATTCACGCATACATTCGAAAACACATATTCATTCACATGCATCCACGTGCGCTTACACGCATACAACTATGCATACTTGTATGTATATGCGAGTGTAGGCATTCACACAAACACACGCTTGCACACATAAACCAAACAGAGTATACTTCCGTATCCATAAGTGCCGCACGGCCGAGAAGGCTCAGCATGTTTTACATAGGCGAGTGGGCGAACCCACTCCCATATGTGAAACATATCAGAAATCCAGCCGCGGAGGCTTTCTGTACTGCTCACATAGGCGAGTGGGCCGGCCTACTCCCCTATGTGAACCATACCAGGAATCCTCCTGCGGAGGCTGTCTGTACTGGTCACATAAGCGAGCGGGCCAGCCCACTCCCCCATGTGAGCCATGCCGGAAATCCGGCCGCGGAGGTTTTCCGGTTCTGGTTACATTGGCGAGTGGGCTGGCCCCCCCCCTATGTGAACCATACCAGAAATCCGGCCGCGCAGGCTTTCTGTTTTTGTCACATAGGCTGGTGGGCCGGCCCACTCCCTTATGTGATCCGTACCAGAGCTCCGTGCACGAAAGGTGTGCGCGTGCGAGGATGAACGATCGCGCGCGAGCTGCAGCTCGGCGGTCGCACCTCCTCCTCCTCCTCCTTCCCCGTTTCTCCCCCTCCTCCACCTCATCATCTTTCCGCCCTCTCCTCCTTCTCATCAGCACCCCCACTCACCCCCTCGTCATTTTAGGAAACGCCAACCAAGAAACTACAAATAACGCATAATCTAAATAAGAAAACGTGCAATCAGAAGGAAATCTGGTCATCAAATTACAACGTTGCTCAAAAGAACAAGCCATTCTCAAAACAACATACCGTACACCGTTGTGCAAGCAAACCACAAAAATGCAACCACATGCATGTATGAAACAAAACGTTGACCATGAAACCGCAACGTGGTGCAAAACAACAACATAAAAATAACATCTGATCATACATTTATAACTTGGTGCAAAAAACTCAAAAACAATATTATATCATGAATATACAACGTGGTGCAAAAAACAAACAAAACAACAATATGTTCATGCATATACAACGCGGCGCAACAAACTCACAAAAACAAAGTCCCGATCATGAAAGCATAACGTGGCGCAACATCTACAATGAAAACGCATGTTTCTAATTCATATTAACCAGTGTTAACGCAAATTCAACATTTAGCATACTGTAGTGAGTGTCTATGTTAAATCAACTTAAACCAAGGTAAAGTTTAACTTGGGCGAGGTGTTTCGCATAACGTGAGCTTAACTTGAATTAGCCAAGCAAGACAAACTTATATCACAAGCCATAAACGTGTACAAGCAAGGTAATTCGTGTTAAACAAATGTTATAAGCTGTATGTGATGCTATACGTGTTTAGGTCGATGTTGCAAGTGTAACTGTTTGTCGCTGTTATTAAGATGTTATAAGAGGTGATGTGCGGCTTATACATGATTGTGTAGAGGTTATAACTATGTATATCTAGCTAACTCCAGTTTAAACCAAAGTTCATCTAAGTACGCGAACCATACCAGAAAGCTAGCCGCGGCAAGATTTCTGATATGGTTTACATAGGGGAGTGGGCCGGCCCACTCCCCTATGTAAAACATACCAGAAAGCTTGCCGCGGCAAGATTT